GATCTTAGCTGAGTAGTGTTTTAGAATGATAATATGGAGGTAAGACTCTACATGGTACAAAACTGGTGGCTACTTATATAATGTCTACTCTAGGTGTGGGTAGGAAACACCATTTACAAGGAATGCCAGTGCTAAGCAGGAAAGGGAATGATTGAATAAGTGATAACTATTTCCTACCTAGGTGATAACTGGTCTGAAAGAGATGGTGTTGTGAATGGGTTTGCCATTCCACAACCATTGATCATTTGGTTATCACCACACTATCACTCAAAGTCATCAGTCTTTTCTCTATCACTCACAGTCTTTGATCTGTTCCTCCTGTAGTACATGTATTGTGGGTCTCACATACTGTACATAAACCCTTGGTACTGTGGACTCCCCCTCCCTCCCAGGCTAGGGTATATGTACAACCCACAATATGTGAGTACCAAGGGTATATGTACAGTATGGGATGACCTACAATTATGTTAGCCAACAGTACCAAGTCCTTCAATATGTGAGCCCACAGTACTATGTACAGTATGGGAGACCTACAATATGTGAGCCCACAGTACCAAGGGTATATGTATATATGTACAGTATGGGAGACCTACAATATGTGAGCCCACAGTAACAAGGGTATGTACAATACGTGAGCCCACAGTACCAAGAGTGTATGTACAGTATGGGAGACATGTGTAGAGAAGTGTGCAGTGTGCATCAGCATGGTGAAGGTGAGTTGATAGAGAAAGAAACAATAGAAACGCAATAAGTACAGTAATGGTTTCTCTAGAAATGAGGGAACCTGCAGAGTGTACATATGAAACATCACATCCAAAAACTGTGAATAGAAAGGTACAAGTTCAGAAATTGCCACAGGTCTTTGATCTGTATCATATAAACTATGGGAACAATTCAAGTCACTTACAGGTAAGTTACAATTGACTACAGCCAACATAAGGGGGGAGTAATGAATGTGGGGTAATGGCCGGGGTTGGGCACTTATTAGAAGTGTAAAGTGTGCTTCAGCACAGGTGAAGGTCAGTTGATAGAACCAGAGACAATAGAAATGCAATAAAAAAACAAACCACTGTTCAATGATGAAGAAGACCACCAGTACAGCAATGATTTGCAGAGTGTACAATGAAACATCACATCAACAAAACACACTGTGAATAGAGTGCACAAATTATCACAGGCCTTCAATCTATGTAGAGCATGCATAGGAACATATACAAGTCACAAACAGGTCTGTAAATTGCCTACTGCCACCAAAATGAACAAAATCACGACGAAAGAAGGTAATGTGCGATACTGGCTGGGTGAGCACTTATTAGAAGTGTACAGTGTGCATCAGCAGGGTGAAGGTGAGTTGATAGAGAAGGAAACAATAGAAACGCAATAACAAAAAATAACCGACACTCACTGGTTCATTATGATGATACCACCAGTACATTCGGAACAGCTGCGATGATTTTTTCTCTCCACCAGTACAGTAGTGGTTTCTCTAGAAATTAAGGAACCTGCAGAATGCATGTGAAACATCACACCAACAAACACAGAAATGTTTAGACTGTAAAGTGCAGAAATTGTCACAGGCCACATACAGGTCTACTGTCTGGGTGAGCACTTATTAGAAGTACAGAGTGCATCAGCGTTTCTCACCCCACCAGCTACACTAACAATATGAAGGTAATGAGATTTTGGTGGTAGATTAGGAAGACCTAGACTAAAGACCTGCATGCCTGACAGTACACTCTCAGAGATTGCACAACTGGGTCAACCCTGCACACCTTGAAGGCTCACCTAAACAGTTCCCAGGGTGACAAAGACAATACTCATGGTGGTGGCATCACTCCTGCAGTTGAAAGGGAAAGGTATACTTCCACACAAGTTTGTGATATAGCTACAGGTAAAAAAAGGTGGGAACCATGCATCCCAGAGATGGTTGTCTTCCTTTATATTTTATAGAGGGAGGACTCATTAGATCAGCCAATCCCACTTTTTTGGGGGTTTGAACACTGCAGTTGCAATGCTAAAGGATTCAGTTGGGTGTGAGATCATAACAAATTTATATGGTGTGCGGTGTGTTAGTGTAGCCAATGAACATGTGTCAACAACATTACTAGCATAGGCAACTGGCCCTGGGTTAGATTCAAAGCCACTAAACTACACTCTGCAGTCTAGGCACGAATGCTTTGCCCAATGATCCAAGGTCAGTAGGGGCTAAAACCTACATCACAGGGGCAACCCCCAAATAACTGTTATGGCACATGGTTAGTTGGAGGCTGTCGAAAAACAGGAAAACCATAACAAAACAAACCACCGCTCACCGGATCATTGTGATGATAGAACACCACCAGTACATTCGGAACGGCTGCGACGATTTTTTTCTCTCCACCAGTACAGTAGAAGAAAGAAGAAATAAGGGAACCTGCAGAGTGTGTATGAAACATCACATCAAAAAACTTTGAATAGAAAGGTAAAGTTCAGAAATTGCCACAGGTCTTTGATCTGTATCATAAAAACTATGGGAACAATTCAAGTCACTTACCGGTAAGTTACAATTGACTACAGCCAACATAACGAAAAAGTGTGCATCAGCATGGTGAAGGTGAGTTGATGGAACCAGACAAGAGAAATGCACTAAAAAAAAGAACCACTGTTCAATGATGAAGAAGGCCACTAGTACAGCGATGATTTGCAGAGTGTATATGAAACATCACATCAACAAACACACTGTGAGAGAATAGAAAGGTAAAGTGCAGAAATTGTCACAGGCCGTCGATCCTTAATCACGTAGAGAATGCATAGGAACCTATACAAGTCACATACATGTACATGTACATATGTATGTTACAATTGCCTACTGCCACCAAAATGAAACAAAATCACCACGAAAGAAGGTAATGTGCGATACTGGCTGGTTGAATATTATTAGAAGTGTACAGTGTGCATCAGCACGGTGAAGGTGAGTTGATAGAAAGAAACAATAGAAATGCAATAACATAAAACAAACGACGCTCACCAGTTCATTGTGATGATAGAACACCACCAGTACATTCGGAACGGCTGTGATGATTTTTTGAAGCTTCTCTAGAAATGAGGGAACCTGCAGAGTGTGAAACATCACATCAACAAACTGCGAATAGAAAGGTAAAGTTCAGAAATTGCCACAGGTCATTACCTTCTTTCGTGGTGATTTTTTTCTCGTTATGTTGGCTAAGTGACTTGAATTGTTCCCATAGTTTACAGTGACATATACTGTAAACTATGGGAACAATTTAAGTCACTTACAGGAACACGTTACAATTGACTACAGCCAACATAACGAGAAAAAAATCACCACGAAAGAAGGTAATGAATGTGGGCTAATGGCCGGGAGGGCACTTATTAGAAGTGGCATCAGCATGGTGAAGGTGAGTTGATAGAACCAGAGACAATAGAAATGTAATAAAAAAATAAACCACTATTCAATGATGAAGAAGACCACTAGTATATACATTCAGAATGGCTGTGATGATTTGCAGAGTGTATATGAAACATCACATCAACGTGAATAGAAAGGTAAACTGCAGAAATTATCACAGGCCTTCGATCTATCATGTAGAGCATGCATAGGAATTTCTACAAGTCACATACATGTCATGACTGTGCTACTACTACTGGGTGTGTGGGGAGAGTTGGCTAGCCGTAAAAGACTCTTTAACCCACCGTCCAAGTTCTCAAGGCTGGGCACCCAGTGTCCTGTTCTCATGTACGCGTGTTTTGTATGGATATTTTGAGGTTTGTGTATATATGTTTGTGGTTGTTTTTATTTACCTACCTACCTATCTACCTAAGCTCAGTTGGTAGAGCGCTCGCCAAGACTGCAGAATGTCGTTGGTATGAATCCCACCTAGAAAGGCAAGGCACAACAAACAATTCAACAACACCAAGGACAGCTTTTTTCCAAAGGAAAAAAGGAGCTGCCCCAGGTGGGATTCGAAGCGACGACATTCTACCAGGGCAACTCAGCTAGTAGGGGTTCGAATCTATAACACAATACAACACAAGGCCTCAACCTCAAACCACTGTGCTATGGCACAGTACACCCTCACTTAGCATGTAAATTGCCTACTGCCACCAAAATGAACCACAAAAGAAGGTAATGTGCGATATTGGCTGGATGAGCATTATTAGAAGTGTACAGTGTGCATCAGCATGGTGAAGGTGAGTTGATAGAGAAAGAAACAATAGAAACGCAATAACAAAAAATAACCGACGCTCACCGGTTCATTATGATGATAGAACACCACCAGTACATTCGGAATGGCTGCAATGATTTTTTCCTCTCCACCAGTACAGTAGAAGCTTCTCTAGAAATGAGGTAACCTGCAGAGTGTATATGAAACATCACATCAACAAACTGTGAATAGGAAGGTAAAGTGCAGAAATTATCACAGGCCTTAGATCTATCATGTAGAGCATGCATAGGAACCTATGTATACAAGTCACATACATATATGTATGCCTACTGCCACCAAATTGAAAAAATCACCACGAAAGAAGAAAATGTGCGATACTGGCTGGGTGAGCACTTATAAGAAGTGTACAGTGTGCATCAGCACGGTGAAGGTGAGTTGATAGAGAAAGGAACAATAACATAAAACAACCGGTACTCACCGGATCATTATGATGATAGAACACTACCAGTACATATCTTTCGTAAGTCCAGACAGGTTTCAAAATATGCACCTCCAGACCCACATCCATCACAACGACAGGATACATAAACACAACCACCAAACCCTTTAGACATTACACAAGTAGGAGCTAAATTTCCATTGCACCCAGGGGTTTTTGCAGCCCCTAACCTGATTGATCATGTCTAAAAACTTGCCCACCTGAGGTAAGGCAAGGAAACACAACTTATTGGGCAAGTCAATATAATTGACCTCCACCGGACGGTCAGGTGTGGGAAGGTACAGCGAGTCATCGTCAATTGCTTCTGACTCACTCTCCCAACCTTCCCCTGACTCACCCTCAGAACTACTAACAAATACGTTTTAGAAGTGACGTTCTGCAAATCCTACAGCAGGGTACAAGTTGCGATCAAGCTTGCCAACAGACCCTCAGGCTTTGTGGGCGACTCGTGGGTGTGGTTCCACCACCAGACTACTCCCTCCCTCTCTCCCTCTATTCCTCCTTTCTTCCTCCTCCATCCCTCCCTCCCTCCCTCCCTATCTTCCCTCCTCTCCTTCCTAGATTACAAGCAGTTCCATGTTCAAATTGCCTGTTTTGTTATCATGTCATATTGCACTTGCACCAATTTATAATATGAACATATAACCAGTTAGCCAAGCTCTAGCCATCATTGTAAAAGCTAATCCACACAGAACCTCGAGCTTAGCGCTCGTGGATGTTGCCCCACCAGATTAGGAGGGAGGGAGGGAGGGTAGTTTCGTCCCCAGCTGCTCCACCCACAAGGGGAAGGAGGGTCTGGTAGCTTTTCACACATAGCTCGGTCCTAAAGACGTCATATCGGTAGTATCCGATGCACAGTACAGTAACGTGATGCATGCGAGGCTCCACCTACAACCAATGTCCGCGGACTACGGATGCACGTGACATTGATTGGCTGCAATCTGATTGGATATCTTGATTTTGAGATCTAGGACCAAGAAATATACAGCAGACCCCTTTTCCACGTGTGTGTTCTCTATCACTCACAGTCTGTTCTCTATCATGAAGAGCATGCATAGGAACCTATACAACAGGTATGTATGTCACAATTGCCTACTGCCACCTAAAATGAAAAAATCACCACGAAAGAAGGTACATGAAATGTGCGATACTGGCTGGGTGAGCACTTATTAGAAGTTTGGGTAAAGTGTGCATCAGCACGGTGAAGGTGAGTTGATAGAGAAAGAAGAAACGCAATAACATAAAACAACCGACGCTCACCGGATGATTATGGTGATAGAACACCACCAGTACATTGTGATGATTTTTTAATCTCCACCAGTACAGTAGAAGCATCTCTAGAAATGAGGCAACCTGCAGTGTATATAAAACATAAAACACCACATCAACAAACACAGAAAGGTAAATTGCAGAAATTGTCACAGGCCTTATAATTATAGGTAATGTTGTGCTACTGGCTGGGTGAGCACTTATTAGAAGTACAGTGTGCACCAGCATGCCAGAATGGCTCATAGATTGCAGTACACTAGCGTGCCAGAATGGCTCCGTAGACTATACATTATGCACCCGTTTGATGCCACGCATCAGGCGTCGGAGGTTGACTGCCTCCGATGCCTCGTTGCCTGGGACTCATCTCTGGTTTCTCCGATGCCCGAGGAGGAGTTTCACACTTGTTGCACTAGGAAGCTTAAGTGTCGCAGGCGTATGGTTTTGAGATGTAGGAGCATGATATAGCGCTACAAACTGGCAGACAAGAAAATGTGTTGCCATAGCCGTTGGATAATTGAGAGTGCTATAGCTCATCCCTATATCCGCCTTCATTTTTGACGAAATGATTTTTCCACTTGTATAAAGAGTATTAAGGACTCAAACTTGATCAGACACAAAACAATTGCCCCAACACAATTCTAAGGTAATGAGATTTTGGGGGTAGATTAGGAAGACTGGAGATCAAGACTGGGTCAACCCTGCATGCCCGACAGTACACCCTAACACATCTCAGAGATTGCACAACTGGGTCAACCCTGTAAACCTTGAAGGCTCACCCAAACAGTTCTCAGAGAGGGTGACAAAGACAATATTCATGGCATTACTCCTGCAGTTGAAAGGGAAGGGTATACGTACTTCCACACAAGTTTGTGATATAAAAAAAAGCTGGGAACCATGCATCCCAGAGATGGTTGTCGTCCTTTATTAACCCTCGGCGCGCATGCGCAGCGAGGGTTACAGTACTTCGTCTGTCCGTCTGTCCGTCCCTCCACGTTTTCTGCCACCATGCGCGACAAACAGGTAAAATAGCGATACCAACGGGTTCAGTGCTACACCCGCTACATTTTTAAAATGGCGATTTTTTGTAAAAGTGCCGTGTTCAGAAATTATGGCATGAAAACCAAGTGAACATGCCAATATGCAAATTAGCACAGGCTTACCTCGACCAGGTCCGCTTGCTCTGTGTACCTTGGAGGCACAAGAAGTCACAACGAAGGGTGTTTATCGACTCCAGCACACTATCTACTACTGTAGCTAGCCCGTGTCACACTCTTCGCGAGCTACTCCACGAGTAAACGCATACTACAAATAGCCCATCCCATCAATTAGCAGTACCGCGCATGCGCAGTTCGCCGAGGGTTTGCACTTTAGTGCTTTTCATATTTTATAGTGGGAGGACTCATCAGATCAGCCATTCCGACTTTTTTTGGGTTTGAACACTACAGTTGCAATGCGATTCAGTGGGTGTGAGATTAGAAGAAATTTAGTGGGCATGTCATTACCAGCATAGGAAGGCAAACAACACCAGGACAACTCCGAAAAAAGAGCTGCCCTGGGTGAGATTTAAAGTCACTACACTCAGCAGTCTAGGCACGAGTGCTTTGCCCAATGAGCTATATAACAGGGCAAGGTCAGTAGGGGCTAAAACCTACATCACAGGGGCAACCCCCAAATAACTGTTATGGCACATGGTTAGTTGGAGGCTGTCGAAAAACTATAACAAAACAAACCACTGCTCACCGGATCATTATGATGATAGAACACCACCAGTTCATTCGGAACGGCTGCCATGATTTTTTCTCTCCACCAGTACAGTAGAAGCAATGAGGGAACCTGCAGAGTGTATATGAAACAAAAAACTGCGAATAGAAAGGCAAAGAAATTGTCACAGGCCTTCAATCTGTATCATACAAAACTGTGCATGGGAACCATTTACAGGTAAGTTCACAATTGACTACAGCCAACATAACGGGGAAAAATCACCACAAAAGAAGGTAATGAATGTGGGGTAATGGCCGGGTGTGCACTTATTAGAAGTGTAAAGTGTGCTTCAGCAGGGTGAAGGTGAGTTGATAGAGAAAGAAATGCTTCATGGTGATGGAACCAGAGACAACATAAATCACTGTTCAATGATGAAGAAGACCACTAGTACAGCGATGATTTGTGACCCGCTACGGGAAAACGTACATTTTCGTGCAAAAATTGGAATTGCGTTACGGGTACCGTTAGAAAGCGCGTTATGTGCGCTTTACGATGACGCAAACCCCGCGTTCGTAGCCCTTTCCTGCCACGCGTTATAAACGGAAGCGTCGTGGCCCCAGTTACGCGTTATTTCTGAATAATGCACGTAGTAGTTCATGCGCGTTCACCGGAAATCGTTTCCCGTATACAGTGGAACCTCCATAAGACGGACACCATTGGGGCAGAGCCATGTCTCCATCTTATGGAGGGTGTCCTTTATTCAGAGGTTTTTGCTTTAGGTCCAAGTGCTTATGTATTCTGATTGTAAAACATAATTTTACAATATATACCATGGATATTGTGACTGAATGGTAATGATAATAGTTGATGTAGTGATCTAATTTAGGACTGAAGTAGATATCCATCAAGGCGACTCTGCCGATTTTTGCAGTGCAGTAAGGCAAGTCTGTCCACTGCAGAGGAAATAATTGTAGCTTCTGTAAGATGACCTTTGCTGTCTAAATACTCCCGTACACCTTCAAGATGGGAAATGGCTTCTGATAAATTTTTAACCTTTGGTTGAGGAGGTCCTAACTCTTCTTCCTCTTCCTCCTCCTCATCCCCATGGTCTGAAGACGTACCACTAGTTGAGTCCAGGCTTGCAAGAAACTGTTGGTCCCAGCTATCATCATCAGTTTCAAAACATGTGACAAGGTCATCGTCGCCATTAATGAACTCTACACTGGAGCAAGTTACTCCCTCAGGTTGGATTTGTTCCATGAGACTTTCAATCTCTGACGTGTTCGAATCAATATCCAAAAAAGGATCATGCTCCATGGGACGGGTAACTACCGAAAAGCTGTCATCCAATATTCCTGCTTTCCTAAAGCATCTCCTGATCGTTTCAGCGCTCACAGCCTCCCATGCCTGAGCCACCCACCTAATGGAGTGGAGAATACTTACTGACTTTGCGACCTCCGAGGCTTTATCACAAGCATCAATCTGAGAAAGAACAAACCGTAAGAACAGAGTGCGATAATGCACTTTAAAATTTTGAATTATGCCAAGATCTAATGGTTGTAATTTGGAAGTGGTGTTGGGAGGAAGAAATATAACTTTGATGTTGCTAAAACGATCTTTAACAGAATGTTCTGGATGGCATCCAGCATTATCCATTAGAAGAATTATGCTACGACCCCTCGATGACAATTTTCTGTTGAGCTTAGTCAGCACAGACACAAGAATATCTCCCGTCATTCATGCTTTTGGCTGACTAAAGTACGAGACGGGAAGATCGCTGATGTCAATTGACTTGAAGCATCTTGGTTTAGCTGACTTCCATATCACGATTGCAGTTTCCTTGCCACCAGCAGCATTGACAAGGAAAGTTACTGTCATTCTTTCTTTCGATTTCTTACCACCATGACATGAAGCTCCTTTTTGGGCAAAACCACGATCTGGAAGGGCTCTCCAGAAACACCCTGTCTCGTCAAGGTTCCAGATATCCTCAGCTGCATAACCTTCAACAAGCTCACATACTCTTTCTTTCCAAGACTCAACTGTAACACCACTAACATCTGCCGATTCGCCACTAATCTTTACATACCTCACATTGTAATGCCTTTTCCATTTATCTATCCACCCATTGGAGGCCTTAAACCCCTCAATATGTAGTCGCTGAGCAATTTCCCTGGCTTTCTCACACAGTTGAGGACCGGACGGATAAATGTTCTTGGAACACGCAAGGAGGTACCACTTATGCAGCGTTTCATTTATCTCGGAGAACTCGCTAGAACGAGCCCTTTTTCTCATGCAGATGCTACTGCTACTAGCATTGGATTCGTAGAGCTCAAGGATTGATATTTATTCTTTAAAATCGATGATATCTGTGTTCTACCGCAGTTAAATTGTTCTGCTAACCTTCTCACGCCAACACGACTCTCCACTGCGACTTTAATAACTTCGACTTTTTTCTTCAGTGTTAGCGTATTCTGGCTTTTGCCCTTCAGAGTAGAAAGAGACATACTGTGCACTAAAAGGAAATGAAGTGGATGACCACGCGGACTGCAATCGAAAAACCACGCCTACAAGTAGATGGCAAGTCAAGTTGTAGGTACAAGCATTCGTGTTCTCGAGTTAGATTCGTATGTCAGAGGTTACCACGCATACAAGGATATGTGGAACCCCGCACTAGGTGACGTTCTTCCACTCGAAAGAGAGTTAACTAACCCTAAGGACAAGTTTTCCGTTGCTCTTATGAAAGGAAGTACGGTTTTCGGCCATATACCGTATAATATCGCACCCGCTGTATCTCACTTTCTAATTAATAAAGCTACAGTTGAAGTTACAGGAGCTGCTGTCAATCGTGGTGCAGGATATGGCATGGAAATCCCTTGCAAATACAGATTTTATGGCACGAATGACTACATTGAGAGACTCCGACTTATCCTGTCGTAGAAACAGTAGTAGTACTGTGTAGCTATAGCAATTATGTGTCCAAGTGAAAATAGTGCAAGCGTCCGTGCTGGTGCTCAGTGTCCGTTATCGGAGGTTCCATTGTATTGTGTCAGTGAAATGGGGAGTAGTGTACTGTCCGTTTTACGGGTTAGGGAGGTGTCCGTTTCCGGAGGTTTTTTTGTACAGCTTTTATTTTGGGACCCGCGTAAGCGTCCGTTTTACCGCAAGTGTCCGCAGTTGGGAGGTGTCCGTTAATGGAGGTTCCACTGTACTACCGCGCGTAATAATGACGTAATTCAACGCGGTTTGGATTGAGTGCGTGTGTGTGGTGTTCTGGAGGCCTACCGTGGATCAGAGGATCTCATGGACGAAGGACTATCTTCCAGGACTTGAGGTAAGATCTACCTACATCAGAGAAACGGCAGATACTCGTGCAGACTGCCCCAATCTGAAGTACGCAGCGCACAACCATTTTTATAGTGATCCAAAGGGTTAACTTCAGCTAAGGGTGGGATAGATGACAGGGATATAATGTTGAAAGTGAAAAAGTTAGTGAGAGAGTGTAAGAGGGAGGGGAAATGGAGAGAGAGAATCAGCTCTTTTTCCGACAGGTGCGGGCGTTGTGGCCAGAGGTATTGCAGTGGCTGCAAATGCGTGCCCGCTTGGCTGGTGGCTGCTGAGTGCTGGCTGCAGGCGTCAGGGGCACATTTGCAGTGGACGAGGAGGTAGAGGCAGCAGTGGACGTGGCACCAGAGAGAGGGGTCAGTGGCCGTGCACACACAATATCACGCACACCATCAGGGCAGTACTGTGCAATTTGATTGTACAAGTACCACTGTCTGTCGATGGAGAGACCAGCGGGCTGAACAACTGCAGGTAGGTTGTCTCTAGTGGGAGCCCATGTCTTGTCAATGAGCAGAGAGATCTGCTCCTCTTCCAAATCTGACTCTGTCTTGATGCACACAAAGCCTGGTGTTGAAGCACTGATCTTGAAGTGGCGGTACTTCTTGATGTGGTTCAGTTTCTTGAGTCGCCCTGCAAACATTGATGTCCAGTTATAGATCTGGACCACTACCTCTCCCGACTGGGTGCTGACGAGCTGAGCGACGTTGGCCTCCGCTAAGGTGTTGACGACCTGTTCGAGGTCTGCCAGACAGCCAACCTTCGTTCGGCGAAAACGCTGCTTTAGAAGTCCGAAGCACCAGTCGGGAGAGAACTTCGTGTGCCCAACTATGAGGAAGGACAGGATGATTTGGATGTGGAGCCCGACCATCACCCGCCAGATCAGGTAGTGTAACATTGTTCTTGTTCTGTCCAACACAATTGTCAGCATGGAGGTGCACTATTGATTCTCCCAGACTGTGCTCCTCAAAAAAGTGGTGTAACATGCTGACAATGGTGTTGGACACTTTCCCCGTGTCGCTTGCTTCATCGATGAGATAGTTTATCTGCCGTGGGATAGCTTTACAACATACCCCAAAGATTCCGCACTGGCGAGGGGTCAGGAAGTAGATCGGGGCGGGTTGGAGGGGGTCTGAGAGGTAGTGAACCTGTTGTGCCATATCGAACGAATAGTGGACGGCAGAGGGCAAGGAGCATGGTGGACGTCTGGGAGATGGGGGCGGAGGAGAAAACACACCCACTTCGAGAAAGAGCTGCCTCACACTCTGTTTCGCCGTGGTGTACGCCCATTTTCTCTTAAACTCTGTTGTAGATTGGGCAGCCTTGTGTCAGAGATTGTGTGCAGAAAGAGGAACATGTTCTTGCAGACTCTCCTCCCTCCATGATAAAAGTGCATGTACGTACGCTTACGAGCTGTTGCTGTGTGACGGTACTGGGTGGAGTGGACTGAAAGAGTGCTAATGTTTGTGGAGGCCGAGAGTTGGCCAAGGATTGCGATGTCTAACTCTGCCCGTGACAACTCCTTGCATTGGCTCCTATAGCTCTCCAATGACTCTGCCGTGAAAGTGCTGCAGCAGGAGCCATTGGCCAAGTCGCACCCACACCCCTCACTCAGAAACCCTTGGACAAGAACACTTTCCTCCCTCTCCAGGTGGTCTCTGTTGGGTTGAATATCCAGGACTGGAACAGTGTTCACTACAAGAGGCTGGTTGGTCTCTAGCTCCTCCTCCACAAGGCTGTCTTGGAGTGAAGGCTGTTCAAGAGTTGTCGGAGGACCACTCTCCCATTCCACATCACTCTCATCACTCTCTTCCTCTGAGCTCTCTGTTATTTATAGTCATTGCTAGCTATGTATCTCTATCTACACTGTGTTTATACTTACCAGACAAAAATGCATTGTCACTAGAGGTGAAGTACTCCATCAGGAACTCAGCTAGGCCCTCCTGATCGCCTTGCGAGAGCGCTAGCTCGCGTAGCGCTACCGCTACAGTCTCTGTGGTCGCAGTATCAGCTGGTGAAGCCATGTTGTTTGTCTGGAGAGTTTCCTCGGTAACCCGTAATTGTTGGTAAACGCGCTCCGCACATTTATCGTTTCATGCGCACCGTGCACGAATTCTGGGCTGGACCTTGCGTCTTTGTGAGGACGCTGTGAGCGGCAGGAGCGGCGCACGAACATCACTCCAGCGCGAAAAGGTAGAGGAAAGGCTATAGTTTTTTCCTGTGTCATAATCCCATTTTGCTACGAGGGACCAAGTTTCAGCTATTTTCACCCGTATCTCAACAATACATTTTGTGCGAAAATGTACGTTTTCCCGTAGCGGGTCACATTTGCAGAGTGTATGTATATGAAACATCACATCAACAAACACACAGTGAATAGAAAGGTAAAGTGCATAAATTATCACACGCCGCCGATCTATCATGTAGAGCATGCATAGGAACCTATACAAGTCACATACATGTACGTATGTATGTTACAATTGCTTACTGCCACCAAAATGAAAAAATCACGACGAAAGAAAGGTAATGTGCGATACTGGCTGGGTGAGCACTTATTAGAAGTGTACAGTGTGCATCAGCACGGTGAAGGTGAGTTGATAGAGAAAGAAACAATAGAAATGCAATAACATAACCGACGCTCACCGGTTCATTATGATGATAGAACACCACCAGTACATTCGGAACGGCTGCGATGATTTTTCCCTCTCCACCAGTACAGTAGAGGCTTCTCTAGAAATGAGGGAACCTGCAAAGTGCATATGAAACATCACATCAACAAACTGTGAATAGGAAGGTAAAGTGCAGAAATTATCACAGGCCTTAGATCTATCATGTAGAGCATGCATAGGAGTCACATACGAGGTACAAAGGGAAAGCCACAACAAACAATTCAACTACACTGCCAGGACAGCTTTTTTTAAAGGAGCTGCTGTAGGTGGGATTCGAACTGACGACATTCTGCCTGCAGTGTAGGAGAGCGCTCTACCAACTGAGCTACATTGTGTGTGTGGGTGTGTGTTGGTATATTGCGATGTGATACACTCAAAAAACACACTCACCAAACAACTCAGATCCGAAATGTAGACAATAGGTACTGTAGCCCTTCTTGGAAGACTTCATAAAGTCTGAAAAAAATAGAGAAAAGGAGATAGGAAGAATAACACAGAAACATGGTATTAAAACAAAAACTGAAGTGAGTATAGTATGTCAGTGATAGTTAAAGAGCACAGGAAGTTGGACACAGACTACAATTGGAATACAATCTGACCTATTTCTATGGAGGCAATTTTCATGGGGCACCACATTTGGAAGTATTGCTTACTGAAATGGTTATGAGCATGCTCATACCACATCAAGGACCCTACAGCCCTGCTTTTACTGCAGTAGTGAAAATAGTGCAAGGAGTATATAAGCTGCTTCATTGCGTGAACCTGTCGCTGACACTCGTATACCAGTGGCATTTGTGAAGGGGTGAAATGTACGTATCCTAGAGGTGAGTAGCAATGTCTACTACCTCTACAGAGTTTATACATACTGATGATGTTCGGGGCATGCAACTGTTCGTTACACAGGCATCACCCTGTAATGTGTGTCTCCACAGACTGTTACGCACATTTCTGGGGCTTCTTCAGATGCTGAAGATAGCACAATGCTCTCAGAGGTCTTGGCAACACAGCAATTACAGCATTCCTCCGTCATTTGTTACACTGCAGAGCGAGATTCTGGGGGCTTTTCGCCACTCATCGATTGGAATAGGAGAGCAATCAGTCACAGGAATAAGCTCAGTGCCAGAGAACGAGGTGTTCAGAACACCTTTAGAGCAGTAGAGCTGATACCGGCCAGCAAACTCCCCCACAAAGCGACAGGGGTAACCCCCCATACTTCTGCTGTGAATGCAGACATAATCCCCGACTTTCATCTCAGGGTTCACGTCCTCTGAAGGGACACTCTCCGGGGGACTTGAGACATGTTCTGGCTCTAATGTACTGGAATCTGCATGTCCTCCTGGGTTACTACGGGCAGGAAACAGAGTACGGCCAGACAGACGGTTCCGGTAACTCAAGGGACAGCCTCTCTCTTGTGGGCCCTCCCTTCAGCTCCACATGTACAGGAAACAAGTTCAATTTCTTCTGAGTCTCATGAGTCACCATCTGCGATGTCTTCACCAGACTCAGAGTCCTCCACGGGACTGTCAGAGTAGGCCTCTTTTTTGGCATGACCTTTGTGGAAAGGGCAATCTTTGTGGCTAGAGCGTAGGTGTGTGCTCGATCCACATACAGCACAGTTCCCTTTCCCCATGGCGTTTATCTTGCCCCGATTACTGCCTTTCCCTTTCCCTTTTTGGTTCACCCCATCATCACACACCATTTTTTCAACGTCACTATCACCACTGCCGCCAAAGTATGTATCATGGCCGTGTTCTTTTGACCATTTGATGCGCTTTATCCCTTCCTGAACACGCTTCTTTTTCAGTTCTACTCTCCATTTCTTCTTGGGAGTGGTCTTGGCCAACTCTAATTCTCTCTTTCTCCCTACATTGTGCTTCTGTAGTGCTTCAACAATTCCCTCAAAAACGGGAAGCTTCATGCGTCGGTACAACTCCGGGAGCCAGTGATAACTAGTACCTAGCATTGAATGCATGTAGGTCAGGTTGGCTTGGAGCAACCCAAGATTAGTGGAGAGTTGGTAGTGAAGCCTCTCCAAGTAGATATCTTTGGACTAATCAATACGTTGTGAGAGGCATTAGAGATGCCACGTTTGAGGATGGGGTGAACCAGTATGCTGGCCTGTGCAGCCCTCTCTGTACATTCAATTTCGTACAACAGTGCATGAAACTCACAATCCAGCTTCATTCTGGATTTGTACTGTTTTCTCTCACACTCTATTTGTTCTTTGTCACTACACTTTTTGCACGAGCAGACCCGAAGTGGGCGAAACTAACACTTTCCTCCCTCTCGCTCATGTATGTCACGTGCATGTTTAGGCAGTGCCTCCAGGCGTTTCACAAATTTCTCCTGTGACTGAGCCTCCATTTTGTGTGCGCTTTTGAAATAAAAGGCACTGAAGTGCAAACCCTTGGCGCAGTGAAGAACACACACGCACAATTCTGTAAAGTAATGGGTCGGGGCAACGGTATGATAGAATTGTTGTACACTGGTGCTGTATTTAGGTTCATATATAAGATTATTCTTTCCTCCAAAGCCTAACTTAGTGAGCTACGCCTTAGTTGGAGGCATACTTACTGAACTCAACCGTCTTCTCAGTCTAGTCTCACAGAGAAATGAGGGAAAACAAAATGGCTGCTGGTCACGTGGTCCCAATCAGCATGCGCCGCTTTGGCCGCCTGCCGCCTCGGAGTCGCGTGCGTTTTGGTGCATACACACATGTGCGTTGTTAAAATGGCCGCCCTTGCCGTACCGTACGAACAGGAAAACGCTCTAGCTCTGCAACGAAGCAGTTTCAGAGAAAATCCCACATATTTTCTGACCTCCGTCGGCCGCTGGGTATGTAAACCCGTTTTGGACGCGATCTATGACTGGAGAAGTGAGTTCTCACTTAACTGACAGAATGAATGACACACACAACAACTACAGTAACCCTCCCTGCGCATGCGCGCCGAGGGTTAATAAAAGGCGCATTCAAGCACCCGCATGTAGCACTGTGGTTGCCTCCCTCACATTTACAGCGGAGCTCACCCAGAGCAGGAAAACTATCTTTGTACTTGTCCACCATCGTCTTGGACACCTTTTTCATCTTGTGACGCAATTTAAGAATATATTTGTGGGCACGCCCAGCATGTCCGCCACAGATCATTATTTCAGCATCAGGAAACACATCACTGACTGCCTTGGCCGAGGAGGAGTCTGCATCCTGCCAGTGGATGGCAACCTGCATTCCCTCCTCTTTGGCCCTACGAAACGTCAGGCGTGCGGCATACCCTTCGGCAGATTTGGACGTGCCCTTGTACAACTCTTCCTCTATAACATTGTCACTGCACGTTTCCATGACCGACTCGTCC